TTCATATAGTCGATCTCAATTGTTTTGAGAGTGAAGCATAATTCTCTGGTTATTTGTTTGAGCCTACAGCTTATAGGGAGCAACGCTCTATACACGCCATTCTTTGTTATTTTTTTCGGACTTTATTCGTAGAATTATACGAGATATGATGAACACAGAATGGAAAAAGGTTATGATTGAAACCATAGGATCTGATAACTAAACTATAAAATCATTTGTGATGAAACTTTTTGAGTTAATGTGTCGAAAACTCTGTGAACCACTATTTTAGAATCTAGAATTTATTAATTTCTTTCGCAAATTATAAGGACCAAGTCAAACATGGCAACCAAGTTAAATTATTATAAAGTTTAATTAAAATTTTCATTAATGGAAATTAAATAAAATATTGTATGATTTATGTGAGTCGAAATTTATCAAAACAATCACCTTATTTTCACAAGGTAAGGTCGGGTAAAAATCATTCTCCTCAATTTTCAGATTCTACTCATTTAACTTATATTGAATATGTTATTAAACTTGTATTAAATATGTTATTATTGTTATTACGGAGGAAATAATACACGTGTGAATTCATTGACTTGTTATTATTACTTATATATATACAGAGTCAATGACCTTTGTGGACCGATCAAAAAAAAAATGATTAACAATATTCCTTTTGATCATTCTGCAAATATGATGGAACAGATAGGGAAAAATCAATATCCTATGATTAATGATGATGTTTATGAAGTATATACATCATCTGAATTCATGAATTATATTGGAGAACCATTATCTTGCTCTGAAGAACGTTCTAATTTCCATTTAATGGTTTTTTGGACGAACAATCAACCTGAATCTACTTGTAAGTAAAAAGCTTTTCTTTTTAGCTTCGGATTTATGTTATATATACTGACAGGTAAAGAAAGTTTACTCAATTTAACGGGTTATAGTAGGTTGTTACTCTCTCTGTCCTCATTCATATGATTGGTAGGAAGGGAAGTGTTTATCATGTATTTCGAAAGCAACAATAGATAAGATTGAATCAGACAAAAGGTTCACCCTACCTTATTAGGCTTGTCACGAAGAATTATGTACGTCAACATAACATGATCATTTAAAAAAAGATCTATACACTGTCAATGCGTAGAACTTAAACTCTTAACTTGCTAATGGTGTACCATATTTTGTGATTTCTAATTCAAGTGTATATATATTTCTTGAAGCTGTGAAGGAAAAGATCAAATTAGCACTTCAAAGAATTGAAACATCCCAAGTAATTTTACTACAGTTTTGGGGACTGGAAAACATTGAAGGTAGAAATTATCTATCAACTTCAGGACAACCTTTTGGTCTTAGATATCTATATAAAGGACTCTGTTGGTATAGAAAACACTGTCAAGGTTACAAATATAGTGTTGATAAGGGTGAAAATCATGAACAAGGAAGGGAAAAAACTCATCTTTTTGGTCCACCTACACGAGTTTTCCAGCAAAAATTGCCAGAGTCAAGTACTCATGTGGGGTATTACACGAATGAAGAGTTTCCGATGAGGGATCATGTTCTCCAGTGTGGTGTTCGGACTTATTTGGCTTTGCCTGTGTTTGAACCTATTGAGAAGAATTGCATTGGTGTGATTGAGCTTGTTACAGTTTGGAAAGGTGGCTACTTGACTTGTGAAATTGAACGAGTACTCAATCCACTTGAGGTTCGTCCTATCTCCTTATTTTTGGCATTTAGACAGATACATATAGTTCGAGTTTCTTGAGATGAGGGTCTATCAGAAACAGCCTCTTTATCGTTGAGGTAGGGGTAAGGTCTGCGTACACTCTACCCTTTCAAGACCCCACTTTGTGGAACTATACTGAGTATGTTGTTGTTGTATATATATAGTTTTGTGTGGAATGCCTAACTACCAAAACCTTGTATCCCCATTCGTACTAGCCATGTATGGCAATACCACACGATTAGGATTATAATCTCGACCATGTTGGAGATGTCTGTATCCTTTGAAAGGGAGTCTTCATGTGACTTATAGAGTTATAGGTCACGGGCTTGCGTTAGGGTATGTTGCCTACATCACACCCTCTTGAGGTGCGGTCTTTCCCTAAATTTAACGTGAATGCTGGATGCTTTGTGCACCAGGCTTTACTGGTGCTTTAAACTCTCATTTTAAGTTTCTTTTTTTAATAGTTTGGTAGATTTTTGTACTTTTGGACTAAGATTTTGATCTCATTGCAGGCAGTAGATCTCAAATGTCCTAAAATATTTCTCAATAAAGATAGAAAAGTAAGTTGCAAAATTCCTACCTTTTATCACTCATCCTTTGTTAAAACCAGTAAATTTTTATCTGAACAAAATCCTTTGTAACCAGGTACAAGCAGGGAAACATAATGAAGGAGAGGAATTCAAAAGGATGTTAAAAATCGTGCGAGAAACACACAAGTTGCCTTTCATTCGTGTCTGGATTCCCTGTGTGAATCTAGAAATGGACCACAATGGCATGTACATTGGCTGCACCGAGCTTGCCATGTCTGCTAGTAATGAAGTTTACTTTGTCGCGGATGAGGAAATGGATGCTAACGATCATGTTTATGACGATTATTATTATGATGATATGTTATGTTTCCGAGACATTTCCAAGTTACAACCTTTGCAGAAAGATCAAGGGGTTGTTGGGAAAGCATTTTCTTCTGGCAAGCTGTGCTATTGCAAGAACATTACTGAATTCAGCATAATCGAGTATCCTTTGGTTCATTATGCGCGTTGGTGTGGATTGACTACTTCTTTTGCTATTTGCTTGAAGAGTAGAGACGATGCGTACATACTGGAGCTGTTTCTTCCCCCTGATAACGGAGATCCAAATATGTTGCTTGGATCAATTTTGACTACAATGGGACAGCATTTTCGGAATTTCAAATTTGCTTCAGGTCAAGAACTAGGAAATGATTCAAGTGTTCAAGTTGTTAAAGCTTCTTCAGATAAGAATGTGGATTATTTTCATATTTTTCAAGCTAGAGCAAGTCCGTTTATGCCTGAAGTATTGCACGTTGAAGATAGACGGAACCAACTAATGGAAGGCAATGAAAATCACACGGAGAAAGAAGGTAGAATAAATATACTTTTTCTTAGTTGCCATCAAAATTTTGTACTCCATGGTGATAAGGTGAATATGTCTGAATCCTTTTTACATATTGAAATGAGGTATTATCATCTTGTGCTGCAGATAGACAGCAATCGATGGTTCAATCCGATGTGTTAAGTGTCGATTCACACGTTATATCAGAGAAGCAATGTGTAAGTGTTACTCGTTTGCAAAAAGAAAGCAGAACCAGAACTAAAGACTCTGTCAACTGTGATGATCTCAAACAGCATTTTGACAAAAACCTTTCTGATGCAGCTGAAAGCCTTCAGAGTAAGTTCTTATCTCATTTTCTTTCTTCAATTCCAACCCTTTTTAAGGTACAGAAAAGAATGTGCCATTGGGCTGCACCAGGGGCGGAAGGACGCCATGCAGGATGTGAATTGCCACTATAGACAAGTGTGTCTTCTTTGTTCAACTCTGTTAAAGTTAAAAGTGTTTACTTCTGCAAACTCAAAGTTGGAGAGCATAGATTCGAGATGAGGCCAAGTTAAAGGGCACGTATTATGCCTATCTTTTAGCTGACGTGACAGTAGAAGTTACTTTTAGTTATCTTTCAGTTGACTTGACAATAAAGGTTATTTCTAGTTATCTTTTAGCTGACATGACATTAGAAGTTACTTATAGTCATCTTTTAGTTGAACTGACAACAGTAGAAGTTAAAACTCAAATTTCTTTTTCTTGTTTCAGTTAGTCGATCTACACTGAAGCGATTATGTAGGAAGTATGGTATTCGAAGGTGGCCATTATCGAAACGAAAGAAGTCTAGTGAATCCGATCACAAGACATTAACTATGCTTTCAAAGAAGAACAAATCAGTAGCTTCAGAAACTACAACACAAAAAGATCATGAGAGTTGTAGCAGCAGTTTTACAGTGAAGGCAACATTTGGAGATGATATGATGAAGTTTAAATTGTACACATTTTCAAGAAAAGATGATTTGGATAATGAAGTGGCTAAAAGATTGAAATTACCTATTGGAAGATTTAGAATAAATTATATGGATGAAGATAATGATTGGATATGGATTGCTTGTGATGATGATTTGAGTGATTGTTTTAATAATGCTCAATCATTAGGGAACAACACAATTAAGATGTTGGTTTTACCAGCAGCCATCAATCATCATCTTGAATTGTAATTTTACACTCCCTTCCCTAGACTCTACGTACATCGGACTGCCCTTTTCTTTTACGTGCTCATATACTTATTATTCGTTGTTATAGCAGATATTCTATATATGTTGTTGTAAAATAATTCAAATTAGTAACATCATGTTACTAACTTATGTGACACACTTACACTCTTAGTTTATATCAAGAAGAAGAATGATTGATACCTTTCTCTTTTTTGAAAATTAATTAATTTAAGCATTTTAGTTTTGACTTGTTAAGACTCAAAACACCATTTATTTAAATTAAAAAGGCACATGGACTCTCATTATCCCTAGTCTAAAATGATAATTTTGGTACTTTGAGTATAATTGGTGTAACATAGGGAAGTCTTCTATCTTTAATTTTTTTATACATTCATTTATTTCTTATACTTCATGAGTTCATGTTAAGTTAAATTTCGTTACATAAAATTTGGTCAAAATACGTTATATTTAAAACTATTTTAAGAATATATTACCATCAGACATCAAATAAGAAAAAACTAGAGAAACTTTACATAATACATAAATAATTAAATGGTGAAACGACTAATAATTCAGAAAATGTGTGAATATTAATAAACAAAAAGATCAAAATTGCACATTCCAAATTATTAAAAGTTTAATTTATTTTCTTTTAAATATTGACAACAAGAAGATACCTTGTGTTAAATATTACTAAAAGGACTAAAATTAGAGACTTACAGTAATTGAGGGACCAAAAAGGTTATTAAGCCAAAATGATTCTTTCCCTGCCTTTGACGAACACCACCAACTAAAGAGTAGCACCACTTTATACACAATCGCCAACAGAAGCCCTCAGTTTCAGATCTCTAATAAAGGTAAGATTTTTACTATAAAATTTGATTTTAAATCAGTTTATTAATAAAGGGTATTCTTGTTTTTGCAGTTTCACATGCTTTTTTAAAATCTAATTTCTGCAATTCTTGTTTTTTATCATCCCTTTGAGAAAAAGATTCAATCTTTATTGTATAGATATAATCTTTATGAATTTAAACCGAATATTACTTGGTTAATTAGCAAAAGAAAGGACCCCATAGAAATAACAGTATTGCCACAGCATCCTGGATTGTTGGGGGTGGGGTGGGATGGGGGAGGGCTTTTATGTTTGCTCAAGTTTTGATTTTTCTGCTTATTAGTTGCAAATTGGAGAAATAAAATGGCTGAATAGTGCAATGGTGAAGGGAGGAATTTCGCTAAGGGTGTTAATTTTGAGCTTATGCAACTTATCAGGTTCTTGATAAATTATTTATATATATTAAATAGATTTTTAAACAGAAGTACATGGTTTGAGTCAAAACTATTGGGTTCTGCCGAATCTGTATGCTAGAAGATCTAGCTCCGCCCCTATGTTGAACATTTAATATATGTGTAAGAAGTAAGAGTTGACCTATATATGCTGTATAGTTTTTCGGGAAAAAGGTGTCCAACTGAACTGACCACCCTTTGGTGTACATAGCTATGCCCCTGCGGATATAGTGTATTTGGTGTAGAGGAGTTATATAGAAGGGGCCAAATAGTTTAGGATTGAGGCTAAGTTTATTAATTGATTGATAGGTGAAAATAGTCAGTGACATGTGTGGAGATTGAATTAATAAAAAATTATTGTGATTCAGAATTTGTGAATTTTGCCCTCAATGTTTTTAATGTATATGGAGTGGAAGATATAGTATTATTTTGCTTCTTGTGCTTGTTAGGTCTGTGTTTTTTTGCTTAGTTAAAATGGTGGTTGTTCACTACTATGTGTTTATTTTCATAGAAGTTTGTACTATGGACCTTCTTTGGTTGGTGGGTTGTTCTTGGTGCTAGAGTTGAAGATGGAAACTAGTGGTCGCGGAGGTGGTTTTAATTGGGTGGTGACTTAATGAGTAAGAGGTTCAAATGATTGTGCTAGGTGCCGGATGAGATGGTGAAAGAACATTCTAATTATATGCAAGATACTCACCCTCATGACAAACTATGATCTATATCGGCATTTTCCGGTATAGCTCTCTTTTATATAAATAAATAAATAAATAGCTCTATATCTTTATTATTATTTCATTTCCTCTCTCTTAAATAGCTGTGTCCTGTGTTAAAACCATAAACATCGGAATAACACATGGGATTATGAGTAAGAGAATTTAATGGTAAGATGATGTGAGACTGTTAGAAGTATGAGTAATTCATGGCTCTGACCAAAGCATCTTTTGGTTTTGGTTGCTTTTATTACAAGTGTAAGTGTTCTTCAGAATGACTGCGTGTAAAGGGCACGTAGGCGGTGAATTGGGTTGAGGATTGCTTAAAATGGCAGATCATCTGAAAAGTAGTGGGTTGTAAATTGTGGTTGGAACGGTTCTGTGGAAATGCATATAACACCATATTCAGCTTTTCTCCATTTTTATTTGAACACGATTGAAGGTTACAACAGAAGGCATAACTCCTTAGATTCTTATTTATTGCATCTAAAAGATTGATATGTCATTAGTGGTAGAAATTTCAGAGTTCCTTCCTGATATTCTCACTGCTTCGAACCGCTTTTGCAATCTCGTTCCCGGTAAAGTGAAATTTTTCTGTCCATTGGTGGTCTTGCACTGACCCAACTTTCTTAGGAGTGAAGCACGGTATTAGATACTCTTCTGGTGATTTTGCACAGTGTTTCTTGTTAATTCCTGACAGATCACAGAAAGGTAAATGTGTTTAGCTTCCCCCTTTTTCGATGTTATATGTTATCTTGGCTGCTGCCTGCTGCTACATTAACAGGATATTTCATGTTTTAGCAGTTCTGGTAATACTCAATTTAATTGCTAACTATTGTCATATGCTTATGTCTCAATTGTTGTTGATATACCTAAGTTTGTTTTAACAATTGCAGGATATTTCATATAGCTTGTCAGAAATGGCTTCATTCAAGGCATTTTTGAACAGCCCTGTTGGCCCTAAGACAACTCATTTTTGGGGTCCTGTAGCCAACTGGGGATTTGTCATTGCTGTATGCCTATCTATTTCAAAATTTACATTATGTTATTCACTTCTAGTTAACTCTTTTGGCTGAGTTTCATTGATGGTACATTGTAGGGACTGGTCGACACACAAAAACCACCAGAAATGATATCAGGCAACATGACCTCAGGTAGAAAATTTGTATTTAAATGGACGTTGAGTCGTTGACTTGAAATGGTATACGCCCACCCTCATCCTTCTTTTCCTTCTGGGTGTTGCAGCAATGTGTGTTTATTCTGCATTGTTCATGAGATTTGCATGGATGGTTCAGCCTCGGAATTATCTTCTTCTGGCATGCCATGCCTCAAATGAGTCAGTGCAACTCTATCAACTATCACGTTGGGCAAAGAGTCAAGGGTAAGTGATCAATAAAATAATACTTTTTCCATTTCATTTTATTGACTTAGTTTGACTGGCACGGAGTTTAAGAAAGTAAATGAGACTTGAATCTTGTAGTCTTAAACTAAAGATGTGTATTGTGTAGCAAAATGTCCTTTGAATTTCATACTTTTAGTCTTAAACATTGCCATGTAGCATGTTGTAATTGAAAAGTTACACTACATAAATTGACAATCTTTTTGAAACACATAAATTGAGATTTTTATGAGATAGAGGGAGTACTAGCTAGGGAAAAAAGTGAGAGAAAAGAAGAAGAAAACATACATACAGCCAATGGACCCTTAGGAGAGATAAGATCATCATCAAAGTTCGATGGTCAGTGCTCCATTGATTACAGAATCATGTCAAAACAGTGCAAACTGCCCATCAGAAGCAGACGACGAAGCAGACTCTCATGGAAGGAAACCTCTACTTCTTCGTGATCCAACTCTGAAACTGGATTTGGCTCACGCAAATCAATCAGACTCGGAATTTTCCTCTATTTCGATCAGCGAAGCACTCCCTTTAACATGGTACGAAGGTGGGTCTGAAGCTCAGTTAATTCAAAAGCCCAATCTAATTGAGACTTCAAAGTGGACTAGAATTAAAATGGTCAAGGCATGCAAAGCTTTCGGGGTCAACGCAACTGGGTTCGAACATGAACTTCTAGATATTATTCTAAGGATGGAGCAAAGGAGGCAGTTCCAAATCCAACAACAAGAACCTAAGCAACAACCTGGAAAAGAGAAGAAGGCCAAAGGAGAAGGGGAGATAAAAAGATTGATATGTGGGATCAATTATGACAAAAAGGGGCAACAGAACAATGGAATTGGGGGTAGGCAATACAACTCCGGTTCTGGATGAAACTAAAAATCCTAAGCTGGAACGTAAGGGGGGTAAATGAGAGTAGCAAGAGGAGCACCATCAAATCTCTCATTCAAAAATGGAAAGTCGATGTTCTGTGTTTGCAAGAAACAAAAGTAGAGAATTGGTCTACTACGTGGATACAACAAATATGGGGTAATAGGTGGGCTGACTGGGCAACTTTAGAAGCAAGTGGTACTAGGGGTGGAATAATAATAATTTGGGACAAGAGGCAGTGGGTCAAAACAGACACTCTCCAAGGCTCTTATTCCATATCTTGTATGCTAGAGAGCATTCAAGAGGAGTTCAGATGGTGTTTTACAGGTATCTATGGACCTCACACAGATCCGGAAAGGGAAGAGATGTGGCACGAAATTGCTGGAGTTCGGGGGTTATGGGATGGACATTGGGTATTAGGGGGTGATTTCAATGTGTGCAGATTTGAAAGCGAGAAATTAAATTGCTTGAGAAGGACTAGTGCCATGAGATCCTTCTCAGACACCATTCAGGACCTTAACCTGATTGATTTGCCATTACAAGGGGCTCAATTTACATGGTCTAGGGGTGATAATTTTGTGCAAGCATCTAGAATTGATAGATTTCTCATCTCCACCGAGTGGAGTGACTCATTCAAGGATGTAAAACAATCAGCTCTCCCAAAAGTAATCTCTGATCATAAGCCTATTCTACTTGAATGCGGAGACTGGGATGTTAGCCCTTCATACTTCAAGTTTGAATACATGTGGCTTCAATCAGAAGGGTTTCTAGAGAAGCTAGAATATTGGTGGCAGAGCTACAATATAGTGGGCAGGGCGGACTTTGTACTACTTCAGAAATTGAAAAGGTTGAAGAGGGATATAACAAACTGGAACAGAGAAGAATTTGGCAAGGTAGAGACCAGGAAAACCAGAGCTCTAGATGAGCTGGCAGCTTTTGAGCAAGCAGCTGAAAGTAGACAATTAACAGTTCCAGAACTTATTCAGATGATGAACCTGAGAATTGAGCTTCAACAACTAGTTAAAGCTGAGGAAATCTCATGGAGACAGAAATCCAGATGCTTATGGCTCAAAGAGGGAGACAAGAACACAAAGTTCTTCCAAAAAATTGCAAATTCTCATAGAAAGGGCAATTGCATAGACAAACTCAAAGTGGGAACTGAGATCATTGAAGATAAGCATAGGATAAAGCAAGAAACTGTTGATTTTTACGAAAGTTTGTACACTGAACCTGAACAGTGGAGGCCTTCAGCCAACTTTGAAGGCATTCCATCCATCTCAGTTGAGGAAAAGTTTAATCTGGAAGCAACTTTTCAAGAAGAGGAAGTATTGGCAGCTATTCAGTCTTGCGCTCCCGACAAGGCACCAGGGCCAGATGGGTACACAATGGCATTTTATCAGAAATCATGGGACTTCATCAAAGTTGACATACTGGCAGCTATGAACCATTACCATCAACATTGCTGGATGGTTAGATCATGCAACGCCTCCTTCATAGCTCTCATTCCCAAGAAAAAAGGAGCAATAGAACTCAAAGATTATAGGCCAATTAGTTTAATTGGGAGTGTCTACAAGATCATAGCTAAAGTCCTGGCAGAAAGGTTAAAGACAGTTGTGGGAAAGCTAGTCTCTAAACACCAGAATGCTTTTCTTAAAGATAGGCAAATCACTGATGCCTCACTGATTGCAAATGAGGTTCTTGATTGGAAAATAAAAAACGGAGGGGCGGGCATCTTATGCAAGTTGGATATAGAGAAGGCCTTTGATCAGTTGAATTGGTCATATCTTCTTTCCATCCTTAGGCAAATGGGGTTCGGTGAAAGATGGATCAATTGGATCAATTTCAACATTTCTACAGTAAAATACTCAATTCTCATCAACAGAAGTCCAGTTGGGTTTTTCTCCCCACAAAGAGGTTTGAGGCAGGGAGATCCACTTTCTCCTTTTCTCTTCATACTTGCAATGGAGGGTTTAAGCAGAATGTTAGATAAAGCCAAGCAATTGCAATGGCTGAATGGTTTTGATGTGGGGAGCATGATCACTACAAACATCTCTCATCTGCTTTATGCAGATGACACTCTGATATTTTGTGAGGCAAACAGGAGTCAAGTTCTTTATTTGAATCTAACCCTTTTGATTTTTGAAGCCCTCTCAGGTTTGCACATCAATATGCTAAAAAGTGTGATCTATCCTGTTAATGAGGTGCTAAACTTGGAGGAATTAGCAGGTATCTTGGGATGTAGTGTGGGTGAATTCCCGGCAACCTATTTGGGGTTGCCATTGGGTGCAAAGTATAAGTCAACAGCTATATGGGGACGAGTTATTGAGAAGTTTGAGAAAAAACTTGCCTCCTGGAAGATGCAGTACCTATCGACAGGGGGCAGACTTACACTGATCAACAGTGTACTTGATAGTATTCCCACATACTATATGCAACTTTTTCCTATTCCTGGCAAAGTGTTGGAACAACTTGACAAGATCAGGAGAGATTTTCTATGGGAAGGGAATAGTGAGAAGCACAAGTATCATCTGGTGGAATGGCCAAAAGTCCTTCTTCTTAAACTACAGGGGGGGTTAGGGATCAAGGATTTGGCGCTGCATAATAAGTGTCTACTTATGAAATGGTTATGGAGATACACACAGGAGGAACATGTTTTATGGAAGGATGTGGTCAGTGCAAAGCATGGGATACAAAGTCATTGGTGCACCAGTCTTTCAAAAGCACCTTATGGGGTCGGAGTCTGGAAACACATATGCAAGCTATGGGAGAAATTTTCTCAGCATAAGCACTTCACAGTGGGGAATGGACTTCATATCAGATTTTGGAAAGACAAATGGCTTCGCAACACAGTTCTGATGGATGATTATCCAAGTCTTTTCAACTTAGCCAGGGATCCAGACTCAACAATTTCTCAAAATAGAGATGGAACAACCTGGAGCATTATGTTTAGAAGGAATATGCAGGATTGGGAGTTTAATGACCTGATCAAACTACTACAGACTCTACAGAGTTTCTCTCTCAACACTCAGGCAACAGATCAGTTCAAATGGGGTATTACAGGAGACGGGAATTACACAGTGAGTGCAGCCTACAAGCAGTCAAGAGCATTTAATGCAGTCACTGACCACTGGCCATGGAAATTAATTTGGAAAATCAAGCTACCGCCCAAGATCGTCTGTTTTTGCTGGACTGCACTATATGAAGCATGCCTAACTCAAGACAACCTCTATAAAAGGAAACGCATCATTGTGAATGGATGCTACTTATGTCAGAAAGCAGCAGAGAGCAATAGGCACCTTTTTCTGCATTGTACTGTTACAGCAAAATTGTGGAATATGTTTTACTCTCTTTTTGAACTCAGTTGGGTCATGCCACATAGTATCAAAGAAGCTTATGAGAGTTGGTGTTGCTGGAAAGTTGACAGCACCATCAAACAGACTTGGAAGATGATACCTGCAGCAATTTTTTGGAGTATTTGGAGGGAAAGGAACAGAAGATGTTTTGAAGGTCTATCAACTCCTTTACATTCTCTCAAAGCGGAATGCCTTATGTGTCTGTACAGTTGGGTTAATTTGTCCTATGTAGATTCCCTGGATAGTTTTTCAAATTTTGTTGGCTCCTTAGTTTTAGCATAATTGTACTTGAGCCAGCAGACCAACTGTTTTTGCTTCTACTTTTGTATCTAATTTGCATCTTCTTGATGCCTTCAATGGAACACTTACTTCATCAAAAAAAAAAAGGAATCCTGTCTTTGACGATCCAGTTTTAGCTAGCAAGTGTGTAGACTCATACTTTGACGACTCCCTAGGGTGTCAAATATCTACTAGGGGAAAGGGTTGATATGTATTTGTGCTTTAGGTAACCTGCACTACTAGAAAATAACTATTTTCCCATTGAAATTTCCTACTGATAAATGTTAAGTAGCTATTCCCACAAATATTTTGATTGAATTAGTGAGAAAAGAAAAAATAGTAGTGTTTTCACACCGAAAAATTAGGAAGCCTCTCAGTGTTTCAATGAGAATCTGTTTCTTACATGTGTTTTCCCCGTGAGCTAGTTTGGTGGGAAATTCATGTTCTATAACACAAATTTTCCATTGATTCATGGTGGGAAAAACCTCTGTTTCTAGTTGTGCCTGCTCATCGTCTACGTCTTTATTCTCCGGTTCCCCTACTCCTGAAAGAGTCCCATAGTCCATTGTCAAACGACACTGGATTAAGAGGGACGGGGAAATATTGATCGTATGGTATTATATTGGATATTATGCCACGATTACTCCTTTACCATTGATTTGATTACTACACTGTCTGATTGGGATTTAAAGAGGAGGTGCTGAAGGTATATAACTAATGTGGTATGTTGAAGTAGGGAAAAAGGATACGCCAAAAGAATGATTACATATCTGATTTTTTCCCATGAGCACTTGCACCATTTGGCAGCAGAGTTCTAGACGACATGCACACAATTTTAGTTTTCTTTCAAAGATGCCGAAAACAGGTGGTGTAGCCAGTTGTTATAGCTTTATCTATGACTTGAGAGTTGAGACTGCCTACTTAAACATTCTTGCGAACCTAGATAGTTTTTTTTTTTTTTTTTGATAAATCGCGGTGTTGGGGCCATCTAGCGCACAATTAGGCTTATTCCACAGGGTACCTGCTATTTATCACCAACACTGGTACCGAATAACTCTCTCCACTAACGCTTAGATAGATGAGAAGAAATCAACAAGTGTTTCTTGTGAACCTAGATAATCCGAGGATTTTATTGTGCTTTCGAATCTTCTGCTTGCAATTACACTCTAATAAAATTTTGCTACATGTGCTTTTCATCTGATGTTTCTGCTTTCTATTTTCCCTGCAGATATTTGCAACAGAATGCAGCCAAAGCTGAGTGATCTAGTGTTCTTTCTTGTTTATTTTTGGACAAATTTGCTTGGCATTTCTGAATGCTTTCATCAATTGTTGCAAAAATGTTTATAAAGAAGCATTAAACTTTTGCAGTTTGAGTAACTGTTGGATCTACACGTTAATAAACCAAGAAAAAAGTAATGATTTTTGGAATCGGTTGAGAAATATCTGCTGATCCAAAATTTACGATAATAGTGACTTGAAGCATAATTGGTAGAGTTGTTATCATGTGATCGGGAAGAAATAACCTTTTGCAGAAATACAGGATAAGACTGTATACAATAGACCTTTGTGGTGGTCTAGTCTATTTATGGACCTTGCGCATAGCTGGAGCTTATACTGCATCGGCCTGTCTCTTTTTAGTGACATAAATATTAAGCTCAATTAAATTATATTAAGAGCGGTGTCGATAAATAAATAAGTATCAGGTGAGATGAAAACATATCATATCATATTTGTATCTCGTATAATAAAGATTAACTAAGCTAAGTCCGAACAGACACTACCAATATTTTGTTTTCCCATTTGAGCTATTGCATATATATAATACCAAAACGTTTCTCTATTCTAGTTCTTTAATTTGTATTGTTGCTAATACATAAACGTTTTTTCTATCTAGTTTTGTAATTTGCATTGCCGCTATAACAAAACCATTTTTTCGTTCTATTCTCGGAGTAAGTAACTCAAATCCTTGGCAAAATTAAGAGTTATAATTCATACAATTTGTTTGGATGGTCGTTACTTATTATTTCAAAGGTACTATATTGTATTGTTTTAGTGAATACAAAGTTTGGAGAGATTGTATCGTTCTTCATTGTTACATATTGTCACTTGAAGGATAAACCACCAAGAAATGTAAGATACATAATATAGTTACTATAAAAAGGGTAAGGTAATAACTAATAAGATTATTCGTCACATAAAATGAGGCAGGGTCTGTTTGACAAACTTGTAGCTGAGGGACTCTTATAGAGTCCTTAATTAACAAGAGTCCTAAATTTGTTACACAACCTATGTAAATACAAAATACATATCCTCAAGTAAAATCCATAAAGAATAAAATTCTAACTTCAGCTTTGTTTGTTCTTCCCTATACCTATGGCGATATGGGAAGAACTGCCTGTCGATCTCCTTGTTAAGATAGCGAATCGTGTTAAAGTGATGGAAGATTTCATTGCTTTACGTGCTGTTTGTACCTCGTGGCGAGTTGCTATCACTAAGGATGACATGTTTTCGCCTCAAGTTCCATTGCTTATGTTGAATGCTACCAAAGATAACAAATATCACAAATATCGAGAATTTTACTCTCTATCCAAGAAGAAAGTTGTACGAGTAGTTCTCCCCGAAGCTAGAGGTAGAGATTGTGTGTCATCCGAGGGATGGCTTTGTACCATGTCATGCTACAGAAAAAAGATGAACTTGTTGCACCCTTTCTCCCGTACCCAAATTCAACTTCCTCCACTAATATCATTGGTGGTTTCACTTGGTGTGAAAATAATGTCTATTGGAGAGGAGTCACTTATCCAAAAAGTTGCCTTATCTGCCAGTCCTTCTATTACATCAGATTACGTATTGATGATTTCTGTTCTTATAGACCATGATAATTATTTGGCTTTTTGGCGATCAGGAGACCGCAAGTGGAGTCGTAGTAATATCAATACAACTATTCATACATGGGGTAACGCCACTAGTATCATTTACTATAATGGCCAATTTTATTGTGTCACTTGTTATGGACAACTTTGGGTTTTTGACATTGTTATGGAGTCAAAATCAATTCATGTTAAGCCACGATTTGTTGCCAGGGTGGATGGTAATAATTATCCAAATAAACAGTATTACAGACTAGTCAAAACATCCAATGCATTATTAATCGTTACCAAGTCTAGTACGCACTTGAGATATAAAGTGTCCGAATTAGATACATTCACAGGTAGATTGAACAATATAACCAACTTGGGAGATTCATCAATTTTCTTGAGCAATGATGGAGGTAGTATTATTAATTGCTCTGGATTTCGAGGAGTAGTCAAGCCTAATCACATATATTTTACTGATATGTGGACATACAATATTGAAAATGAAAAAATTGAATATTTTCATCCTGGACCAAGTTCTATTTGTCCGCTAACTTGGGTTACACCATCATTCCAACACCGCCATGTGACTCGGAGGGGTTGTTGTCTCTGAGTTGTTCAAATTATTATTCTAAAGTCTAATTGAGCTATTTAATTTATTTCCCTTCATTGGAATAAAATGTTGTTGTATTTAATCAATTCTAATGTGTGTTATGCAGCATATGTTTTTCATCTTATAAAATGTGGCCAAAGCAGAGTGTTTTTGTGCTCTTTCTTGTTTGTGACGAGCAAAATAAATATATTTACTACGATTCTATCAACATTTACCCCTATATTTGGATGTTGTTCCTCGTTGGAAGAATCGTAACATTTAATTCGCTGTATTTATAAGATTATGAGTTCATCCATACTATAATTATTTGCAAATTTAATGAATATTTACATATACTATGTTCCGCCTGGGTTGATATGACCCCAGACCCCGTGCTACTATGATTCATCGAACTCTAGTTTGACTAAGGCGCTTTCTTGTGGAGATGGGAACCATGTATATATTTTATGACCTACAAATTTTTAATTTAAAATTCTCTAACTTAAAGAGATTAGAATTTTAAATTCATAAATTTCTAATATTGACTATGCCTATAGTAGGTCTAGGAGAATCTATAGGTATCCATTATATTCAACTCAATAGACATGACGTGTATATTTATCTAACACATACGCATCAAACATTGTTGATCGTGTCTTTTGCTTAAACTATATATATATTATTTTAACAAGTTTAAAGCACGACACAGTGTATATTTTTAATCAAGTTCAAGTCTATCATCACAAAAAAGCCACGAGTTAACATGTTGGCTAAAATAATGTGTTTATTGACATAAAGTAGGATCACTCCTCCAATCAGAAAAAATTTATCAAGTTTTAAATTCAGAAATCACATGATTATATAACCAAAAGAAAACAACAACTTTCTATAATGAAAACTGTTGGATTTTCAGCTTAATTTCATTTATAGGATATTTCTATCTTTCTTACATATTGTAAGGGGTACCTTCGGTGGGGTGGTGGGGTTGAGGGGGTGGGTGTTCTAATAAGGAGTCATGAAAAACAAAAGTTGGGCCCAAACATCAAGATAGAAAAGTTAAATGGGCTTTCAGAAACCCCAAACTTAAACTCTAGAATCATTTCTCGGGTTTTGGGCCACCCGACCCGAAACAGACTTTTCAGTCATAACCATTTCTCCTTTAGCCTCTCTTGCTGCCATCTGTCTCTTAGTGGACTTGTAAAATGCAGCATAAATCAGCAATTGGGCCAGCCCAAGAAGGGTTCCCATTGAATTAGGTGCCTAATAGGAAGAAGACAAAAAAAACTTATATACATGGATCGTATACAAATATTTTGAACTATCAGTGTATTTTAACATGTCGTATCATATTGTTATGTTAGTAGATATTACGAATTGATTAATCGGAAAGTTTAGAAGTAGGACACAATACTTCTCATTTTCTTATTGATTCTTGGGACAAATAATGATATTTGTTAGCTTAATTAGATAAATTACAAAGCAAGATAATTTTGATTTGGTGGTTAAGTTAGAGCTATCATACTAAAATTATCAAAGAATCAAATCAATCAAAATAAAAGTTCCTATTTACTTTTTCTTTTTCTTTTTCTTTTTCTTTTAGAATGGTTGTTGATAAACGTACAAAAACATAAACATAAATAGAGTATAAAATAGTTGTCACAAAAAAGATGTCATATCATATATGCCACAAAATAGAAGACATTATGTATATGATTTAATAATTACTATTTATTAGTATCATTTCCATTTAATCCTAGATTATATAGAGTTAATATCATTTAATTTATAAGACTAATTTTATCTCATTAAAGTCATTAAACTATGTGTTAGTTATTGAGAAAAAATAATTCGTCAACAAGTCAAATTTGTCAGCGCCAAAAAATGACATCATCAATTATTGCAAGTGTATCTCTACTCTTAAAAAAATAAAATATTTTCTAATATAAAGTTAAATAAAACTAATGTTTATTATACTTACAAGAATGTAGGCATCAAAACGGATGAGGGCATAAGAAGTCCAACTCACACCATTGAGAAATGAGAAAAGTGAAAGGAAGAAAGGCATGTACTCCACACTTTTGGTCTTGATCACCAGTTTCTGCAATTAAATACAATATAAACTTTAGTTTAAAAATAACATTTTCATGATTCCCTTTTTAAAAAAAATATTTTCATTTTCTTTCCTAACCAACAAGTGGCAAAATCAAGATGAACACAAATTTAATAACTTTTTATATACACACATCATAATATTTTGGCAAATGATACTCAATTAACCATCCTTCAACATCTTAAAAGATGAACAATTGAATAAAAATCATTAATAATAACAAATGATGTCTATATATATACAAATATCTAATAGAAGAATTCGATCAGAGACCAAGCCGGGGCCGGGCTTGGTGGTGGTGCTTGGCCAAGCCGGGTCGGGCTGGGCCCAATGATCAAACTTCTTTTTACTCAATATGGACCATCTTACATATATATACTTCCTCAAGCAGGAGAAAACTCGAATCATGCAAGAGGTAAAAAAAGGTGAAAGATATTTACCATGACAGACAAAGGAGCAGCATACATCATAATGTTGCCCACCATGCAAATGCTACCAACAATAGCTGCCCTTTTCTTGGGTTCATGGACAAAAGTTAGAACAACAAAGCCAAGTGCAACAACAAAAATAATCTCAACGATGACGATTATAATAACTTTCGTCCTTTGCTTACGATCCGAGTACAATAAAAACAGCGTAAGGTACACGATCTCGATGCCTAGACCGGTTCCGTTAATAGTTATAACTAAAAGACTGTTAGGTGTGACCCATGGGAGACCGTACATCACCCAAAGCCCACAATTGATAAATGTGGCTAGGTATGGAATTGGAGAAAATTGCTCCACAGATTTGCTTTTCCATATACGAACGAAAGTCGTCCTGTCAATAAAAAAAATTGAGATCACAAGTTTTAAAAGTTTTTTTTCTTTTTTTTTCTTTTAAAAAGTCAGATCAATCAAATACCTAAATCTAAAATGAAACAAAAAGTAAATGCTATAAATAAAAATGAGTTACATTATATACATCGATAATCTGATGGTGTAAAAAGTTCTTTATAAAAGCGGTGCATAAAAATTAAACTCTTTGTGCTTTAAACGCATTTTTATTAGAGTAAGGGAAAGTTAATTAAAGGAAAAACATGAGAATTGAAGCTTACAAGGGTGACAAGAACAAGATGAGTGCAATGATATTCCCTGAAAATAAAAATAAAAAACAAAAAAATCAGTTTTTTCATTAAAAAAATAAATAAAATTGAAGGTAATAATTATCATGAGCTATTTTTCTCTATATATGTTTTTATTGAGTGTGTAGGGACGAAGCTAGATGAGCAAAAGGGGTTTATTCAAATCTCTTTCATAGAAAAAAATTACATCATATATATAAAATTGAAAGAATAATATGTATATACAGTAGATATGATGAATCACGGATAAAATTCTAGCTCCGTCACAGAGTGTGTATGTTTTGTAGAGACAAAAAAGTACGAAGAACTAACCAATAACACCAACAGCAAACCTAGCATTATCCCTATTAAGAAGCATAGCTATGAAGAAAAATAGAAGAATCTTTTCTTGATTTTAATTTCTTGATTTTTTTATTTTTTTTTACTTGTGGAGTGAGTGTGTGAATCAAAGAATGAAGATGGATAGCCTTATAAAGGGTAAAGGGGAAGGGGTTGATTTTGGTTTGTCCAAAATAAAATAAAATGAATAAATCAAAGCATGCAAAGTCTCCCTCTCTCTCCTTGCATTACATGTATTATTATTTGGTTGGTCAATAAATACAAGATAAATGAATAAATAAAAGTCAACAAAAGAAATAAATGAAAAATAATTTATTTCAATTTACGTGTTATATTTTTTTATTTAAATTTCAAATAAATATTATACTTTTTTCGTTAAAAATTAATATTATTTTACACTTAATAAATGAATTGTAATCATACAAATAACTATAATTTATTTAAATCATAAATTTTGAGATTCTTTCTTCTTCTTTTTTAGATTTTGTGATCAGTCAAACATTGTCATATTTCTTCCATCCTGAAATACTTGTTATTTTATTATTTTATAAGAATCAAACTACATAATATTTGACCAACAACTTAAGATATAATTTCTTATTATATTAATATGAGAAAATCTACAATTCATTACTTTTTGAATATATAAATTATAATTAATTTATTCTAATAAAACTTCAAAATCTAGTTAAGTTTATTAAATGAAGGTTAAATGAAGAGAGAAGAACACTATAGGCACTCCATTCAAGAATTTTCAGCAATTTTTTTTTTTTGAAAAATAGAGAGAATTAATTATTTTTGCATGGATTTTACTTTGCAGCTTGCACTGAATTCAAAGCTAAGCTTATCCATATTATCCTTATCCATTTGAGTCTGGTAGGAGTTAGCATTATGAGTAATTCTTGAATGGGGTGCAATAATTTAAACAAATAAAGGCTAATTTAATTACTAAATTTTATTATTAAATATTTTTAATAAGTATTTTAATAGCTTAAATTGAAATTAAAAAAGAATGGACAGAGTAGTAATTTTTATTTTACTTTAGCACAATTACTACTCCCTCCATCTTATATTACTTGCCAACATTATTAAAAAGTGCGTCTCAAAATACTTACTCTATAAGTTTACAAAATTAAAATAAAATTAATTGTTTTTCTAAAGAGTGTCAAGGGTAATTAGTACCAAATATTTTCTGTTCGTAATTTTTTAAAGGCGTATAAAAGAGAAACATGATCATTTTTTGCGGCAATTAATTAACAATTGCCGCTAAATATGTATTTTTAGCGGTAATTATAAGCATTCTTTGTATGTGTTCCTAAAGTCTTTAGCGACATTGGATAATCCAATGACACTTCACTAATGCCGGTAAAAACTTTAACACTTTTTATTAATGTGTCTATTTATTGCCGCTAAAAGTTATTTTTGTTATAGTGATTTTTTGTTCGTGATTTTTAAGAGCGTGTAAAAGAGAAACTTAGATCATCGACAATCTAACTTATCTTATTTTCTAAATTACTAATTAATCTCACTTGTATAAATGAATATATTTTAATTATATGTTAGTGATAAATTTTTATAATTATTTATTAGGTGATTTATTATAAAAATATCTGACAGAGGGGTCCATGGAATTTTTTCGAGCAGACAACGTTGTAATGGAAATTTCAGGACTTTATGTAGTGTTTGGTTTGTCAAGGAAAATTGAGAATATTGAATTGTTGCCATTGGTAACTGCTCACTCATGTTAATAATGTGAAATATATAATTGGAATTATATGTGAAATAAAAAAAAAAAAAAATGGAAAACTTGAAATATTAATTTTTAAAATGTGGTAGGTATCATGTGTTGAAAATCATTGGCATGACGTTTTTCTTCCTTTCTATTTTGCACTTTTATATTATTATTTTTTTACTTAATCATTTGATATTTATAATTAATTAATTCAACTAATTCAAATTTATATCATATACCAGAAATTATTAAGGTAGGAAGTTCTTTTTATCATAATTTTTTTCTTTTTCGAGACTGAAATCCTACACAATTAAATTGCATTGCTACGCCATAACTTAAGGTGTTCAATATTTTTTATGATGTTCAGTCGATGAACGTTACTTGTATTGAACGTGAGCTACTTAAAATCTATGTATAAATGACATAAGCATATATAAAAATATAGTTTTATTTTCTACTTAATATTGTTTGTTATTTTGGAAACACTTATAAAAAGAATTAAAACTTAATTATACTATTTCATGCAACAGACAACAAAAAATAACCATAAATTAAAAAGAGGGGGAACAATCTCATTAAGAGAATTTGGAATAATTTTTTTCTTAAAAATAAGGTAGTCAATCAACTGATCTTCTTAATTTTCGAAATTTTGAGATTATTTCAGAAATTAAATTATACAAATATGGTGTTTGACTTTTGACCAAAATCTATCAGATAGCTTTAAAAAAATCAGAAATTATTAGATTATACAAGAATGATATTTGACTTTGGACCAAAATTTCATCAAGGAAGTTAAAAAAATTTCAAAAATTCAAATTTGATTATATGATTAGGTCGGATCAATACATATGAGTGAAATAATTGTATCATGTTGACTTAATATTTGGACTAATCATACACTCGTATACAAATTTTATAAATTCACATCTTGTCTAATTAATCGTTAGTCTTATAACGTCTCATTTAGTCAAATAGTCAATATGTTTAGGGTATTTTAAGTCAAAATATAATATTAAGATTTATTCAATACGTGAAAGGAGGATATTTAACTATTTTTTGACTGTTCTACCCATTTAATCTAACAAGAAGAACTAATAAATCCTTAATTAGCTATGTACTACTAATCACCAAACACTAATTAAATTATTATTATGTCATTAATTACTTCATTGACCTTTTGAGCAATGTGTAACGTTTTTTTTTAAATTTATTTTTTTGTTTTACTTGGTGACAATATATGTAACGTTTGCAAATGTGTAACTGTAAACCGAAAAATTATGACTAAATATAGTGTAGGCAGAACAGAAAGTAGGAGACAACAAGACAAAAATAAGTAATTATTTCATTTAAGTATTAATAATATAAGGACAAATTTAACCTGCCATTGTGAAGTTATTATAAGTTAGTTGAGACATTAAGGAGTTTGCTTCAACATGTTTTTTGAAACTCAAATGCTTAGGCATTACAATTCATGTGTTACAAAATGTACTTAGTATCGTTGATGTCAGATTCAAAATTTAAAGTATATGAAAAAAATTATGATTTCTGATAAATAATTATATAAGATGTTTAATTAATAAGGACAAAAATTATCTTTATTAAATAAGAATAGTTTAGTAAATTATTGCTTGAATTTATTAATTTTTTCTAATGGGCATAAAAAATGCTAAAACGATACTTAAAATGAAACGGAGAGAGTATTCATGTCTAAATGGTTAACCCCTTAATTCCATTCGAAAACATAAACCTTAATTATTGTATTATTAAATGAACAACTTTTATCTATTTAGTTCGTCATTTTTTCTTTATTTTTTATTATGGCTCGAGAGTTATTGAGTTCAACTGAACTCGTACCTTGACCTCTAGCTTTGCCTCATATATACTGGTTATATTTATACTCATAACTATTTAATTTATTTATAAAATTTCATTGATGTTCATTAGTTATTTACAACCAACTAATCGAAACGAGCTCTTAAAACTTTCAAGAACATCCAAATTCAGTTGGATAAATATTCAATGCATTTGCGTAAACATTTTTGATACTAAGAGAGTGACAAAAAAATAAGTACGTACTTTAAGTACTTAAGAGAAATCCAACTCAACTGTCTTCATTTCTCTGACAACAATAATAAATTCTGATTAACTTGTTAGTTATGAAGTATGTAGTTGGTGAAATTAATTAAATGAATTTTTTTAATGTGTTCCTTCAATTTTAATCAGAAATTTTGAGCACAAGTCTTTCAAAATAAGTAAATTTGTTGCAAGAATGCTTCTATTTATAATGATGTTTAATGACACATGACTGAATTAGTCGACTGAGTAGAAATCGAATACCAAATAAATAAAAGTACATATAAGGAAATTGAAAAAAGGAAAAGACCATCAATTGAGCCCAAATAATATTGCATAAAATCTTTACTTGGGTGGGACGGAATTAAAGATTTTTAGTTTGAACTTCAAAAATAAAAAAGATTCATGATTGATATTATTTCTCATTTGATGAGTCTTACGCTACGTGAATTCAAATTGATTATATACCTTGTTTGGATGATGGTTACCTGTTGTATTGTATTGTTAATTTAAATACAATGTTTGTTTTGATGCTTAAATACTAGTGTATCGTATCATTTAAATCCATTATTAGGTAACAACGAAAAAACCTATTTTATGTAACGACCGATTTGGTGTGATCGCGTCTTTACTTTAATATTTTCTTCTCATTTTATTTTTATTTATTATTTAATAATTATAAATTTCATCTTTTATCCTACATTTTCACAGTAGCTCTACCTCGTACCCTACTTTTTTTGGAGATTTATCATTCAAATTATAAATGTGTGGCATTATGTAACGATGGAGAACGATACAATTTATCCAAACATTGTCTTTATTAAAACAAGACACGAGTATAATAAAATACAACACAATATAATATCTATGATATATTATGAAACAATACGCAATAACCATCCAAACAAAGTGTTAAGTCAGTGATATAATGCGAATACTAGATGAAAGAAAATTGAAAAGAAGAAAAGAGCATTGATTAATTGTGCCCATTTAAAATGCATAAAATCATTAATTGTTGGAATAGATAAAGATCTTTTTATACTTAGTTTTTGAATCTAAATTAGGAAAATAAAAATAAATTTGATAAAAAACTTTTTAATTTAATAAATTGTATACTATGTGAATTCAAATTGACTCACAAAATGCATATTAAATTGAAAACTGCAAAGAGGAAAAGAGCATTAATTGTGACCAATCAATTTGTATACAACTTTTATTTTGATGAAATGAA